ATAAGCCTCGTTTACTTCGCGGATTCGAGTTTTCAATTCGAGCTGAGATGTGACATTTTCTGAGAGCTTTTCACTGTAACAAAAAAAGTTATATGTGGTATTTTCTGAGAGTTTTTTACTGTAGAAATATAAAATTGAAAATTTGAATCAGTGAAATGAACGATACCATAATTTTTTAAAGCGAAATTAGCTTTAACCATAATAGAATTATCAAAATGCTTTTATATTAGTATACCATGTTTGCATGTGAATTCGGGTTAGTTTCCACTAAAATTCATAAGAAAATGATTATTTTCGTTAATATTTTAACAGACTATGGAACAAATGTTACGTTTTGGAGATTAATAATATATTGTTACAAGAGTCAGGGATTTTTTTGTAATTATTCCTAATTTTTGTTAGCTTTAATGCATTTCCGTCCTCCGATAAAAAAAGTCAACTTCACTTTTGTCTTCCAAAATATGTTACTTTTAGAGTTTCAAGAAGAGATGAGAAGAAAATTGAGAAATAAGAATTAAAATTTATAAAGAATTGATGTTTTTATATTAAAAGGTCAATTTGTTAAGTATAATGACCTAATATTTTTATATACATGTGATTATGTTTATATTTAGACGATATGAGACTTAAATATTTTATTTTTAACAGCTACTTCGTTTTATTTTGGCCATCAAAATTTAAAAATATTATAATTTACACCCTAAATTATACCCATTATCCCACATCACTCTCTTTATTCACAAAACCATAGAAAAATTCAATAGCATAACCGTGTGACCTTTACATCACTAGTTAATGAATTGGTGTTTTGATAAATCGTGTCTACAAGATAAATTTAAATACATTTGACCCTTCCACGCCTCGTTAGGCAACGAGCTCGTAAGGATATTAAATACATTTGACCCTTCCACGCCACGTTAGGCAACGAGCTCGTAAGGGTATTTTTAAATTTTAGAGTCGTTTAATTTATTGATTTGAGTTTTTAATTTGAGTTGAGATGTGATTTTATATAAAAAAATTTTATTATAGTAAAAAAGTTAATTGTGACTCTTTTTTAGAGTTTTTTACTATAACAAAACTCAAATTCTAAACTCGAATCAGTAAAATAAATAGGACATTAATTTTTTGGGTGTGATTTGTTTAACATATCCTTCATAATAAGTAATGTGAGGTCATACAGTTGATTACGTTGAGTTAGTTTATAACAATTTTTATGACTAAAAGGTCAAACGTAAGACTAATGTCCCGTTCATTTTACCGATTCAAGTTTAGAATTCGAGTTTTATTGCAGTAAAAAATTCTCAAAAACAGTCACATCTAACTTTTTTACTACAGTAAAAATATCTCACATAAAGTTACATATCAACTCGAATTAAAAACTCGAATTATCAAACTAAATGGGTCCTAAAAAAATATTCAGGATGTGATTTGTAACGTTGAAGCTTGGGATCAAAATGAGATAAGTAACGAAGTCTATAGATCGAAGTAAATCCTAACAAAAAAAAAAATCCACAAGCTTTCGCTTAAAACTTTAGATTTTTTTCCTTCTAAGTATATTTTATATGGTTTTTGGCATTTTTTACTCTCTAAATTTCGTGTAAATTAACATTTTGTTTCTTATTTTCTTATTGTGGTGAATTATTCTTTCATTTTGGAAAATAATAAAAGTCAGGCGAGTATTAAAATTATAACTTTTCAGCGCAATATAATAACACTAAAATAACTTTAATGTAACAGAGCTATAGACCAATATTTTTTTAATTATACTTAAACTCAAGTGTGTTACACGAATATAGAAATAATGTTACATTGTTAGTTCTGCTATACTGGTATGGCCATAAGACCGTAGACATTTCTTATTTTTTAAAATCAATTTTATGACACTTTACAAGACTTTAAAATTAACAAAAATTAAAATTTAAAGTGACAACCTGTTGATTTGTGAAAATTTCAATGGAGGAACAAACTGGCCAGCACCGAAGAAGTCGATCAACATCAATCTGGCAGTGCTACATATATTGAACCCCAAATTTGGAAGATCAAACATCTCAACAGTGTGGCAGTTTAAAAGGTTCATTATGGAGACGAGAGGCTCAGTTCCAAATAAGGTGTTAATGGTCGGTTAGTTGGTGTGCAAGTAAAAAACTACCAAGAAAACAAAAATAAAAAATTTAATTTCGTAGAGTTTGGTATTTTAGAAGAAAATCAAATTAAACGTTGGTTTGGCCCATTTAAGTTTAAATTTTTTTTTTCTTGACATTTGACAAGCATGTAAAGTATTTGTTGGGATTTATTTTCCGAATTTTGTATTGATTGTTGGGATTTGTTTCCCGAATTTTGTATTGATTCTATTCGTTGTGTGATTGGCATTATTTTGAAAATGTTTGGCTGGTTGATTATGGTTGATAATAGATTCTTTATGGAAGGTTTTTGAAAGATCTGAAAACTTAATTTAGTTTTTATTTTTGAAAGTCAACTATCGATCCAAATATGGTAAATTGATTTGATTGATATTTGATGGAGATTTCATAGCTAGATAATCTTCCTCTGTCTCCTAAGAACGTGTCCAGGTTCATATATCAGTTTCGGGAAGGTTTCAGAATTAAAGCAGATTGATTCGGACTGGTTTTGAGAAAGTTGACCGTGACAGCTATGTTGCAGGTATTGTTGTAACAATGATCTGCAACAGATTTGGTTCAGCAAATTAATTGAAGAGGTCGTCAAACTGTTATCATTTTTACTTATTTATTCAAAGAGTCTCTTGTATCTTTGTACACCTTTTGATTAGTTTTACTGGGTTGTGTGAGAGGTGAGCACTTATATTCAAGAGAGATGATTTGAGTATTTTTGAGAGAAAAACTTAGTTGAAGGGATTCTAATGTTAAAAAGTCGAGGGGATCTGCTGTACAAGTCCATTGGGAAATTACAAGTTCATAGACGTCTTCTTAGAGAGGGAGTCACGGGTAGATTAAGTCCAATTGAATTGTAAAAGAGTTCTTAGTGGATTGTTCATCATCTGGGCGTGGCCCCGCGGAGTAAGTTGTTACTGAACCGCGATACCATTTCTCTCGTGTTCTTTTATTTTACGTTTCTGCATTATTCATATTGTCTTATAAAGTATTAAAAAACTCAAACCGGTACTAACAGTATTTCATATGATTTCAAAATTTACAATTTTACTTTGAGATACCAATATTCAAATAGTACCCGTTTATTTTACCGACTTGAGTTTTATTACAGTAAAAAGCTCTCAGAAATAGTCACATTTAATTTTTTTGTTACTTTAAAAAGCTCTCATATAAAGTCACATATCAAGTCGAATTAAAAACTCGAATCAACAAACTAAACGGGGCCCAAAACTTTCCATCCATAAAGATAGTATCTAAAATGATTTAGGAAACGTTTGGTTCATGGATTAGAACTATGAGATTAGAATAATTTTCGATTTACGTATATTTTTTATGAGAAAAAATACTGTAGTGAACCACAAATCATGATTCGAATCAGGCTACGAATCCTTTAACCAAACAACACTTTAGTCTTGTGACTTGTGAGACAAACTTTACTCTTTTAAAACCTACTACAATACCCATTATAGATTATATCACGAAGAAACTAAAAAATATAAAAATTTCACGTGCATCTTTTTATCATCTTTTTATCAATCTGAGTCTCTCAAAACACCAAACTGATAACGAAACCGACCATAAAAAATAGTGGACAAAGCCAACAAAAGCAACAAATAATCCAAAAAATATTAATAGTTTGGCTTCGGTTTAATTTGGATTATTTAGATTTCATGGTTTGTTACTTTTTTTAAACATCCCCTAGTTCCAAAACTGGCCAAAGTGAGTTAGTAGTAATTCACAATTATTGTGCAACAACTTGGTGGCCAAGTCCAAGGGTCTGTTTAGTATGACTATTTCAAAGTTTAAACTGTGGTTTAGGCTCAAATAAGTGTTTGTTTGTAAAAATTAAAAAATTGGTTTGAACCCAGTTTAATAAAATTAATGTTTAGTTAAAAAATTTAAATTATGATGTGATGTTTTAACTATTTTAAATCCTAAAAAATAAAATCACATCTCCCCTTGATTTTGGTTAGTTCAAACTACATATGGTTCAAACCAAAAGATTTTATAGTTTGAACCTAAAATTTAAACCTTACAATTCAAAACGCACATTGTTCAAATTCAAAGGGCGCGTTTAGAACTCGTTCTAAAATAATTTTATTTTTTATATGAAAATGAAAACGAAAACGTTTTTAATTTTAGACAGAAATCATTTTTGAAAATGCATTTGATAGTTTTATCAAGAAATTATTTTCAGTATAAAAAACCCATTAAAGTCTCTCTCTCTTTCTCTCAAATGAAAACAAAAAATGAAAAGTCATTTTTCATTTCTCTATCATTTTACACTAAATTAAAAAGTTATTTTCATTTCTATTTTTAATTTTTATTGCGCCAAACGCCGTTTTAAAAACGTTTTCATTTTATTTTCTTAAAAAACGTAAAAAAAAAAAAAAAATTAATTATAAACACGGCTAACAATTCAAATCATTATAATTTAAACCTTCGTACTAAACGAGCTCAAATTTTGATGGAACTAACAAGTTAGTTCGATTAGTCGACTAGTTAAATCACAACAAGCTTTTAAATTTTGAAGAGTAAAGTGTCAACCAACAATGATAAGTAATAACTACCACCTAATTTACCCTCCCGTGGTATTTCCCAAAGCCTTATCTACTTTTTTCCTTTCCGTACTGAAAATAGTAAAAAGCACGTTGCCTTTTTGCGTTTTAGTTTGCAATTTAACATAAACACATGCTAATATGGAGGGAAGTAAAAGTCTAACATATATTAATTTATGTGTTTGTCGTTTTTGGTGAAGAGTAGTCAAATAAATACATGTGTATGCATCTGCATCACTATAAATAGGGGAGGGCCCACGCTGCGCTTAACATTATGGAATTTTATCACATTTCTTCTAGACTCGCAGAGAAACAGAGAGAGAGAGACAGAATCCCTCTCCTCTGTGAGTGAATATCCTCTCTCTCTCTCTCTCCTCTTTCTCTCTCTAGATTCGTTTCGGAGCTTTCCTCCAATGGCGGACGAGGGGGCGAGCGAAGTCACTGGTCCGATTCGTCGTGTTCTCCTCATCTCCGCCGGCGCTAGTCACTCCGTCGCTCTTCTCTGTAAGTTCCCTCCATTTTCGGTTCCTGTTGTTTCTCTCTCTAAGGTTTTGTTGTTTGGATGCCGAGAAAATTGAGGTGATTCGCGGTGTCTTTTGCTTGTCGTACGGTATCGTTTGTTAGGTTTCTTTGAGAAATGGAAATTGTTTACCGTTTCAGAGCTTTTCACTTGCGTGAGAAAATCGAATACTGTGTTTTTGTGCTTTAATTGTAACTAAATGTAGTTGATCATGTAAGTTTTATCGACATTGCTTTCAGTTCCTTGTTCTTGGGGTCGAATCTGAAGATTGTGTTGGCTTTATCTTCTGTCCATAAACTTGCTGATCAAAGAATATGCTCAGAGTAACTGCTTTTTGTTGTCATTATCAACTTCAATGTCCGCTTTTGTTTAAAGAATCTTTAACTTTTGAATTTTGGCTATATATGTCGTAAAAGGAAATGACTGCATAGCATGTATGTACTTTGTTAAATACTTTTAAATTAATTTCTTATTTCTTTCCTGTTTTTTGAAAAAAGCTGATGTCTAACCGATGAATATGGAGAATAGTACAAAAAAGAAACATAAATGATAATTGAAAAAACGACAAAGAAGAGGCAGTTCCTCTGATGATAAATAATCATTTACCAGCTTGACTTTCTCCGCCTTCAGTCTGGAAATAAATAATTAGACCGATTGTCGTGTAACATTTTTAATTGATTGAGTGGAGTTTTTAATTTGAGTTAAAAAATTTTTATTATAATAAAAAAATTAAATGTAATTATTTTTAAAATTTTTTATTATAATAAAATTTAAATTTTAAATTCGAATCGTCTAAATGCATTGTCAGTTTAGTTTTGGTATTTTGTTACTTGCTTCTGCGAGAGGTGTATTTTGTGAGCCGTTCTATGTATAAATAGATGGTATGGTACTCTGTCTTATTAAAGAGTAATGTTTATTCTCCTTCTACTGTTTCCCTGTATTATGGTATATTTTGCTTCCTATCTAAATGAAAAAAAACGAAGGTCAGATGAATAATTACCTCCTTCATCATTTGCAGCTGGAAATGTTGTTTGCTCTTGGGGAAGAGGAGAGGATGGACAGCTAGGCCACGGAGATGCTGAAGATCGACTTTCTCCTACACAGTTGAGTGCATTGGATGGTCATGAGATAGTGTCTGTTACTTGTGGAGCTGATCATACAACTGCTTATTCTGAGACGCAAGCGGAGGTTTACAGCTGGGGATGGTCTGTACTTTTCCTCAGATATGCTCTTGTGAACTGTCGTTGTGATTTTTTTTTTTCTTTCTCAGTAGTCTCGACTCTTTTAATTATTATAATCTCACATCAGTACGTTCTCTTAATTTCGAATCCCAATTTGGTTAAGAAGTAATTGGTAAGAAGTCAACTAAAATTCCCTACTTATTTTGCCTTCACGAAAGAAAGTAGTCATTTGCTGAGTTTATAGCAGTGTTTGTATCAAAATTAAGAGAAAAAACCAATGTTGCTATGGATAGGCCGCGTCTTCTTTCCGCTTAAGCTTATATTAATCCTACATGATACTGATTACAGGGGTGACTTTGGGAGGTTGGGTCACGGGAATTCTAGTGATTTGTTCACACCGCAGCCAATTAAAGCATTGCATGGTGTAAGGATAAAGCAAATTGCTTGTGGCGACAGCCACTGTTTGGCAGTCACTATGGAAGGGGAAGTGCAAAGGTTATCACTTTTTCCTATGTTTCTCTCTCTCTCTCTCTCCGCCCCTGCCTTTTCTTGTCAACATTTGAAATGTAACCTGTTCTTTTGTTCCTTCTTTGCAACATTAAATAATCAGTAGAAGAAGCACAATTTGGAAATAAACGCCACAGAAACTGAGTGTAATAAAATTCTCTGAAGTTAATGGCACTATGTAAAGTGTAATTTTTTTTTTTTTTTTTTTTGGGTGTGTTTTTCTTTGTTTTTTGTTTTGTTTTTTAAATCTTCATGTGTATAATAGTCAATACTACAAGAAATGAGTTGACAACATTAACACAAGGAACTGAATTTTTGCCTTGAATGTGATATTTGAGTTCCCATTCTAGGTAGTTAATGCATGCCTGCTAGATTGTATAAATTCAGCTAAGTTCTCTAGGATGTAGAATTTTTGTTCTGCTCCCTTTTTCACTAAAATTAGAGGTTTAGTTTCTAGTTTACTGTGTTGTTGATTCTTGATTCTATATGAATGAATATCGCTTTTGTTTTTTCTTCAATGAATTTGACCTTTTCTTTTCTTTCATTGAAGTTGGGGTCGGAACCAAAATGGTCAACTTGGTCTTGGCACCTCGGAGGATTCTCTTGTGCCGCAAAAAATTCAAGCGTTTGAGGTACTTTAGTTAACAATTACAAGCATACATAAATGATTACACCCTTTACACTGCTATCACTATATGAAAGTAGAATATGTTTTTCATCTGTTTATGACTGCGCACATGTTTGGACATGCATATGTGTTTGTAGGGAATAAAATAAGCAGGTGATTGTTTTTTGCCCCTCGTATTTTTTGAAGAGATATGACGACGTCATATAATTACACCAGTTAGTTTGTTTTCGCTTATATACTTTTGGTGCAGCAGTTTGAATGGTTTAGTCTAATTTAATATCTTTTAATCTTTCTCCTATCCTCAAAGAGTGTTTCAAAGTGGTTAGTAAAATATATAAATTCACTAGTATGTCAGTATTTTTTTTCCCTTTCGTGTGCAACGAAATTTGTCATGGTGAGATAATGGATAACAGGATCATATGTTATGGATTCATTCTATTTTTGTTCTCAATGTACTTGTCTATGGTACAGAAACCACTGAAGGTTTTCTAAAAACCATACACTCCTTGCAAAAATTAAAGAGAGAGAAAAAAAGATGATTCAAATGAATAGAAAGTCTGTCAAGCTTTCCAGATTGTTATATTGAAAATTAGAATATTATGGTTTCAAATAATTTGCAGTCAACATATGAATATTTTGTCTAATTGATTTGAGAACTTTAAATTTATTGTTTATATAGGGAATTTCAATCAAAATGGTCGCTGCTGGTGCTGAACATACTGCAGCTATTACAGAAGACGGGGCACTCTACGGATGGGGATGGGGGCAATATGGAAACTTGGGCTTAGGGGACAGAAATGACCGTTTGGTTCCTGAGAAAGTTTCAACTGTTGATGTATGTCTAAAATCTGGTATTGTTTGTTCCTTTTATGTGAATAGCAATTTTTGACAGTTTAACCTTTTGGTTTCTTGTATTCATATGTGAATTGAATATGTATTACAAGCCATTTGGAAATTGGTATGCAATGATACTAGATTAATGTGTTGTTATTAGGTCAATTATCTTACAGTGGGATTTATTGTATTTCTAATTTTCTTTTTCTCAGGCGTCCTAGTTGAGTTTGGACTGCCTACCTGTGAATAGGATTTGGTATTGTTGATTGTGGTTAGCCTTTTTCTATTTTTAATGAATTATTTCATATTATCATGAGCAAAAAGAGTTATGTCTTATTATTGGTATTGATTCTTCCCGACTCAAATATCCTTTCTCTTAATCTCTCTCATTCCTATTTCCCTTCTCTTTGTTTTGCATCAATATGAAGAGTGAACCAGATCATGGGTTCCAGTCTACTGGGAAAGTAGACTGGGAGATCTGGGGATCATAAGTCAAAGCTCTGTAACTTGTAATTGGCTCTCCCCACCCCAGTATTAAGCCAAGATTCCTGAGTACACAGCTGATGTGGGACTTGGTGTATGGAGTTTCGTTTGCACTTGCTTTGAAGTTGGACTGTTAGATGTTGTTTAAGAGTGTATCATGTGTCCTTTTGGTTCTTAGTTCTATTTAGCAAGGAAAGATTGCTCTTTCCTTTGCAGTTGTCTCTTTTATACGAGTATATTTTCATTTATTTCAACATCTTTGACGTCTCTTATATAGTGTTCAACCCCCATAATGCATGTTTGAAGGCAGTCTACGTAATTTACTTGTCCCCTAAACTGTATTAGACTGAATTCTGCTCTCCGAGTGTTGTTTCTCCTGTTAGAAGCAATTATCACATGACAATAATTGTCTGTGTTACATGGTTTTGATTCTTGAATTAATGTGCTTCTTGCTTCGATTGTTTGATTAGTTTTTTCCCTTCTTCTAAATCTACTTTTGTTCATCAAAAACTTAAGGCTGAGAAGATGGTTATGGTTGCTTGTGGATGGCGGCATACCATATCTGTTTCCTCATCTGGTGCTTTATATACCTACGGATGGAGCAAATATGGTCAACTGGGTCATGGAGATTTTGAGGATCACCTTTCTCCTCACAAGCTAGAAGCCTTGAGTGGCAGTGTTGTTTCTCAGGTGAAATCTTTGTCCTTTCATTGCATTATGATGGTTTCGTGAATTTGGATATTATTTCAAACACTTAGCTTATTATAACTTAGATATTGTCTTTCATGTGATACATTAGTTGGTAAAGTATGTTTAACTAATAATGCGAAACATTTAGGATTTCGCAATATTTTTGTTTTATACAAGAAGAGATTTCATTTAGTCTTCTAACATTCGTGACTGAGCTTCTCTTGGTTTGAATCTCTTCAGATATCAGGCGGTTGGAGACATACAATGGCACTAACGTCTGATGGAAAACTATATGGCTGGGGTTGGAACAAGGTACAAATTGATATTTCCTTTTTTGTTCGTCCTTAACGTATATTACATTATGGAATCATCAAAAGTGATCTGGTTCATCTTTCGGTGAAACATGAATCAACAAATTTTACTTCGGATGATAAACAACTAGTACTAGATTATTGATAAGCCATTACTCAGCCAAGTGTACATTAGGAAGAGCAAAGGCTTAGGAATGGGCAGGGCTTGATCGTGGGAGAGTTGTTTTTAGCCTTAAGTGGGAACTCGTAGTATTAGTAGTATACTTACTGTGATAGCTGGCAGAGGGAGGGGAAATGAGGTGGAATGTATAAAAGGAGAGGGAAGAGGAGTGGAAAGGTTACGGGAGAAATAATCAGGAAGTAGATAAGACTTGGAATCATTCCAAGCAAGGGGAGGAAGCAGACCCTCGAAGATCTGCGTATCGTTGTATAGATTCTATCGACTAATAAAGTTCCTACGTTGATTCTTTCTAGATTCTTTCGATTCTTGAATTCACTCATACATTGATCTTGTTCCAAACACCAAAGGCCTTATCAATTATCTCCCACATCGTGTCCTCGTTTGTCTCCTAAAGGTCCAAGCACAGGATAACACATACTGACATGCTTTCCTTTTTATTATATATATTTAATTTATCATTTTATTGGTGATAGAAACTTATAGGGAGTATTTTTTTTTTTCCTTTTTCTTTTCTTCCTTTCTTTCTTTCTTTCTTTCTTCTTCTTCTTCTTTTTTCTTTTTTGGATGAAACTTCTGTTTTTTTTAGTGTGATTTCTTTCTGCTTCATCTTGTGGGCTCACTATTGGTCGATATAATTCAACTATTGATGGTTGCATACTTTTTTACTTTGTTATGTGCAGTTTGGGCAGGTTGGAGTTGGTGATAATATAGACCATTGTGCACCTGTGCAAGTTAAATTTCCCCATGAGCAGGCATTTTCTCCTAACTGTAGCTCCCCAAAATGGTTTACTTACATTAGTATTCAGTCCATACAGATTATTCCTCTTTGGCTCTATCTCTGAAGTTGAATATATGTTGTAATTATTACATCTTACCCTTTTCCATCTTTCTTTCTTTATTTTTTGTTTATTTTTTCTTAAATCTTTAAATTTATGGGTCTTTGGCAGAAAGTAATAAAGATCTCTTGTGGATGGAGACACACGCTAGCTGTTACTGAAATACCAAATGTCTTTTCATGGGGAAGAGGCACAAATGGACAGCTTGGGCATGGTGAATCTGTTGATCGGTAATAGCATTTACTTCTTTTTAATATCGGAATGTGTCTACTTCTGGGTATTATTTTATGTATTTTATGCAGTATTTTTCTCATCCCACCTGATTGTCCACGTTTCTCTGAGTCTTTTTTGGGACATAAACATATACATATGCTAATGACCCAAATATTAACAATAATAACAAAAATCCAACAAAAGCAAGCTTCAAGACAAACCAACATTACAAAACAACCCTGCCAAAAAGAATTCCTATCCTGATGTAGTGATATTGTTAACTCGAATAGATACGTGATTTGTCCAGTGTTTTGTGGAACTTGAAAGCGGAGTCTTCGTATATCTTGTTCTCATTTCTTAAGCTGAGATGTTTCTTTCAATTAAAGGAATACTCCAAAGATGATAGAGGCCCTGAGTGTCGATGGATATAGTGGACAGCAAATAGAGTCATCAAAAGTTGATCCATCGCCAGGTGTTATATTCTCCTCGTAACCTCACTTTTTCTTTAATGCCAACTTATAAATTGATTTCTAAATATTATTTGCTCGTCTTTCTTCCCCCCTGCAGGGAAAACATGGGTCTCACCTTCTGAGAGATATGCAGTTGTTCCAAATGAAACTGTAAGTTTCTATTTTTCAAAAAATCTAGCAGATGGTTTGCAAAGGTTACTTCTTGTTCTTGCTATATAGGAATTTTGAATAGGTTACTTAACCGTGTGACAGTTTGTAACCATATTTCAGTTTGACGACTAAAAGATATGTTAAGAGTCAATCTGATGAAGATCAGAAGGAAAGAGGGGTTGAACAAAATTGTTATAGGTCTTTCAAGGTTCTAGTTACAAATGAATGACCATATATATGTCTCTGCAGGTCCAAGGGCAAACATCTGTTTCCAGCAGGGGCAACGGGAACGATGCAAACGTCCCCGAAAATGATGTCAAAAGGTTACGGCATTGAAGTAGGTAAAACGGAATTGGGAATTATATCTTCTTATGGCTATTTTACTTCCAGAGACGTCACATGTCAACCAGCCAATGCCATTGGCTCGGTCGGCATTCTCATCTAATTGTAAATTCATATTTATTGCAAAATAGCGTCTAGTCCTGTTGTTGTAGAGGGAGAATATCTAAACTTCTTTGCTACTTCTTGTTGTACTTTGTTATTATGGTCAAATTGCATTGAAACACTTGCAAAATGTAACCCTGCTTTGTTAAGGTTTCTATTTCTCACTTTTTAACTCCTCAATCAGTTGTTTCTTTAGTGAACGAGGATTACTGGTTAGAAAAATTCTTAGCGCACCGTCGGTGCTTAAGTAGGCCCTATTCGATTAGTGTGTGGTTTTTAGCACCACTGGCGCCCCTAGTATTGTTCTAGTGGTTAGCCACAGTTCTGGAACAAATTTCCCAGATATTCAGGATGAGTCTCGGTTTTTCAAGGGTGATGTGAGAGAAGCGGTGAATTGGTGTGGGATTTGTTTTAGCCAAAAGCCTAGATGATTGGGTTTTACTTTTACTTGATACTTTGAGCTTTTTGCTTGCTGTGGCATTGATCCTATCATGTGTGCTTCCAACAGAAATTTGACCCGATATCTAAAAGCATGTTTGTGTACCCTCTTTTTAAAGCAAAAGGGTGAAAAACAGTTGGGACAAGAATCCGAGATAAATGCTTTGTAACAGATAAGCTGTTGGAATCGCATTTTCCTTTTTTTTTTTTTTTTTTTTTACTATTAGTGGAAAATCGAAATGTGGAAAACAAATGTGAGGATTCTGTATCCTAAAAATTCATAAATGTCTCCACTAATTAGTATTATTCTAATAAAAATTTAAAAAATCTATCCTTTTATAAATATAATTTTCATAGTACTTATTTAAAAACAACGTATATCCCACCTAATTTTAATCTTAATTTGATTTATAAAATAATACAATCTTTTTGAATTATTAATGTTACATTTCCTTTTTAAAAATATTACGAGTCTATTTATCTTTATTTATTAATTGTCGTCTTCTTTTCTTTTTGTTTGTTTGTTTTTAAGCAAGGTCCCTATAACACAAAAACAACTAAAAATATAAAGGCTCAAGGACTGTCACATATTCACATTTGTACATTTATATATTTTAACATTAGACTTGGCTTCAAAAGGTTTTTTTTTTTTTTTTTTTTTTTTTCAATTGTAATCTCTATTAAAATTTTCAAAGAATTTAGTGGAGAAATTTTAGAGTTTATGCTTTAGCCAGAAATATTCTTTTAACAATTACTTTCTAATTGTAGTTAATGTAGGTGTATATTCTTTTTCTTAAATACAATATTCATTTATAATTAATTTGAGGTATAATAATAGATTTTAATGAATGATAAAATTATAATAAATATAAGTTGTGAATTGACGGGCTTATTAATGAATTTTTGGGGTGTGATTATATTTATATTATGAAAAAATTGGTTAAGGTTTAAAATTTTTTAAATAACATGATAGTTGAACACTATTTGATTCATCATCAGTTTATTCTTTTTTTTTACATTGAAATTTGAAAAAAAAAAATCTGATAGAATTAAAATTTGAGAACATGTTCATTATATGCCAATAAAATCAAGAACGCAATCGGTAAACTTCACAAAAAAAAAAAAAAAAGAAACGGCAATTGGTAAGATCTGGTGTTACTTTGCTGCCTTCCATGTCCTTGGGAAAAAAAAAAAGAAAGAAACAAATCGATTTTCGTTTTGGCAATTAATTTAATCTCCTCCAAAAATAGCAAGAAGACGAAGAGGTGACTTTCTTCTTTGCCTAGACAAATTCCATGAGTAGTTGATTTGAAGGCCCAAAGGAGAAAGGAAAAAAGAAATAAAAATAAAAAAAATAAAAAAAAAATAAAAGAATCCAACAAAACGAAAAGAAAAGAGAGGAGAGAGAAGAGAAGGGAAGAGAAAAAAAAAAAAAAATAGAACTCCAAAAACCAAAAAAAGGCCTCATCTCCTCCTTCTCTATCATTCTGATAATAATTTCTCTCTTTCTCTCCTATTTTCTCAGATCCCAAACACCCCTTTTATCTCTCCCTCTCTTAACCAATACTAATATAGACACACGCACACACACATAAATATATATATATATATATTTATTTCCTCTTTTCTTCCGGTCTTCAATTCTCTTTTTTTTTCCGAATTGGAAAAAAAATTAAAATTAAATTAGAATAAGGAAGGAAGAAGAAGAAGCTTTGAATCGGAAGCAATGAACGACTTCGAGGGGCTTTTGGCCTCCGATTTCGGGTTCAAACCCTCGAAATCGGTTCCAATGGCCACTTCTTCTTCTTCTTCTTCCACAAATCGCTCCAACTTCGATCTCGGATCCCGATCCGCTCGCGCCTCCTCCGATGATCGCGATTCGATCTTCTCCACCGCTCAGAGATCTCACGGTTTCGGCGGCGCCGGCACCAAATCGGCCGGCTCGGCCTACGATTTCGACGCCATGTTCGAGAAGCCGTCGAATTCGGAGCCTGTTTACGATAAGCCGGTCTACGACGACGACATTTTCAACGGCGTCGCCGGGCTCAGGAGCTCTTCCTCCTCCAAGGTCATGTACGACGACGTTTTCGCGACTGTGTCGTCTTCTTCGTCGCCTCCCAAAGGAGGAGGGACTGGTAGTGGCGGTAGTGCGTTGGACGACCTTCTTGGTGGGTTTGGTAAGTCGGAGCCGCCCCGATGGACGAGCGCCGGAGCGAAAAGGCCGGAGAAAGCTGAGAAGAGTGTGCCGGATTTCGCTGATTTATTACCTGGGTTTGGAGATACTAGTCCCCCTACCGAAAGGTATTAACTTTTTTTATTGCTCGAGTTTGGATCAATTGTATTACTGCCATGAGTTTAAATGAGAAAAATTTCGGTATTTATGGAATCTTTCAAATTTGAGGATATTTGGATCGGAGTACATTTAATATATTGAGAATTTCAGGAAGAGAAGTCTTTGATTTATGGATATTTTGTTCTCTATATCTAATATCATCTTTGCATTAACTTTAATTGTTGATTACTTGATTCATATTGTAGCTTTTTTTTTTTTGAACTTTTAGTTGGAATATTGGATGCCATTTCGTGTACTTGTGTGGAAGTGGAACATGCCATTTGGATGTCTTTGTCGGGCTGATGCATTTGTTTGGTGAAAGCTTAAACAAAAATTATCAAATTATGCATTGATTCTATATTTCATGATCATTGGATAAGTTCTTAGATTTGCAACCGTACAACAAAGATTTCGTTGGCTAAGATTTTAGGTGTTGAAGATTGGTTTTACAGAAGTAAATGCCATGTTTCTTTAATACAGGAGTTTGACTTGGATGGGGATTCTTATAAACTTATTTGATTTTATGTGGGAATGTACGGTTAATGAGGTTTTGAATTGACCATTGGTGTCATGACCGACCCATAGTATTTGCCGTCTTGAAAAATATGTTGAATTGCAGAAGATAGACCAGCGATCATGGCAGACTACTTGCACAAGTTTGATCGGGTTATGTTTGGAGTTCGTTCTCTCTCTCTCTCTCTCTCTCTCTATTGGGTTCTGTAGGATTGGGAGATGTGAATAATGGGTGCCATTCCTTGAGTTGTTCCTGTTCCTTTAACAGTAGATGGGAGCCTAATGTGCTAAATGATTCAAAGTAGAAGAAATATAGGTTTTATTGTTGACTTGTTATTTGAGAAGTGAGGAGTTACTCCTGCTGCTGTACATCGTATTTTTCCTCCTTGGGGATGGGATCAAGAGTTTCTCTCATATAGAATTCTATTTGGCTTTTGAATTCTGCTATCCAAGTGCCTTTCTTTGTTTAGACTCGATCCTGGACGACTTCAAACGTGGATAGGTTTCTTGTTTTCAAAGAAGTTGTCAATTGACTGTCAATGTGTTAGACTTTGAGGGTTTTGATCAGTCAACTTTTGATTTATTTTTTATTGGCCGTAGAAGCTTGGTCTCTCTGATGCTCTTCTTGGTTGGTATATACTGGCTTATATTGAGGATTTTCAGTGATCAAGAGTACAAGGAGGGTTCGTTATAATTCGTGTTTGTTTCCTCATTGTGTACGGGGAGGTGGGTGAAGAGACAGTAAGTGGGAGAGTTTTGAGGATTCTAAGATGTCTAGTTTTGTATTTTCTTTAGAAAAGTGAATCAGGACAAAGATGTAGAGAGAGAATGGGTATAATACAAGTGTAAGATGTTGATAGAATGCGAAGGAGCGGAGATTTTCTTTGAGATTGAGCTCAGTTTTAGGCTTTGATTTTGTGTCTTCTCTTGTGAACCTTCGGTTCTCCTTCGGCTGTTGTGTTTTTAAATATGTCAATCTAAGTTATCATAAATAGTTTTACATTTGAGATCACATCGATTTTTAAATATTGTAGAACATGGCGGAGGTTCTGGTCATATTCATAAAGTTTTCCTTTTTCCTTTCTTTCCAATTAATTATGTCTAGTCTACTATTTCTCCTTCTTTCTTTCTTTCTTTCTTTTTTTTTTTTTTTTTTTTTTTTTTTTTTTTTTTTTTTTTTGTCTTGCTCGGCTAAGTGGGATAGCTAAGCCATTAACTTTATGGCACTAAAAGAAAAAAAAACAAATAAGTCTCTCAGAAAAAAGGATTGAGGGATTCCAACCATTGATAGTTCATTATTTCGAACTATACCAGGTTTCAAGACTGGAGCTATGAACAACAAGATTTATCTTATAGATTCATTTGCATTGTAAATAACACTTTCTGTTTCTCTCGTCACATTGATTTTTGTGTAATTGTGTGCTTAATGTTCATTTATGTTATTATCTTGCTAATGCATGCTTTATTGCTTCTGTACAGGTCAGCTTCAGAAACCAATTGGCCCCCAGAAACTTCTGTTAATGCTACGAAAACAACATCCACAGTGATGGAAGATCCCTTTGTAGTAGCGGGACAATTTAGTGATCCACTGGAAGAAATTAGTAAGCTTTCTAACTCTGGAAGCATGAAAAGCAATTCTGTTGGCAATGGGAGAGTATTTGATGATATGGATCCTTTTGATGGTCTTGTAAGACCTGCCTCATCGTTTAACTCTGAGAGAGATAACAGGGGAAAGGAAACAAGTACTTTAAGAGAAGATTCAAGTACTAGTGGATCCAAAACTTTTCCTAGTAAAGAGGCGAATGAGAAGCCCTCTGTCAGAAGTCCAGATAGCCAAACACAGAAGAAGGTGCCCGTTGACAACGATTGGGATTCTCATCAAACATTGTTTGACATGCCTACTGCTTCAAACACTTCATATAAATCTACTGGACAAACTATGTCTCCCCCTTCTTATGCCAGTGCTAGTTCTAAGGACTTAAATACACAGGCAGATAGATCTCCAAGCTCAGAAGAGAACTTGGATTCATCTGAAGATATATGGCTCACTGTGTCGGAGATTCCTCTTTTTACGCAACCTACTAGTGCTCCACCACCTTCAAGACCACCTCCTCCAAGACCTGTATCGAAGGCAGGAATAAGCTCTGCTGCCTCTACAAATGCAAGAAGAAAGAATAATGAGTTTTCATCTTTCCCAAATTTATCTCAAAACTTTCAGGCACCTAACTCGGTTCCTGTAGCTGCCAGGAGTTCAGTTGTGTCTCCACTTGATCAGCTTGATGATTTTGCTAGGGGTGGGAGCCAAGACAATGTTGCTGAGCATCTAAATGGTATTTCTGGAGAAGAGTTAGAGATGAACTCAGTTGCTGCTGCTATGAAGGAGGCTATGGATAGAGCTGAGGCAAAATTTAGGCAGGCTAAGGAAGTGAGGGAGAGAGAGAGTACAAAGGCTGCTAAAAGTAAAGAAGGACAGCTAGAAAGAGATGAAAAAGCAACACAAGATGAGAGGGTACGAGAAAAGCAGGAGAGGTTGGAGCGTCAGCAGAGGGAAAGGGAAGAGGAAGAAATGGAACAACAGAGACTTGAGAAAGAGGGGGAAAGAGCGGGGGAAATTGAGAGGG